GGCTCCTATCGTCAAGTACTGAATTCACCCAGGAAGGCCATGTATGATGGACATGAGTGCTAGAGATGGGGAAATACACAAAGACTATGGATTTTGTAGAGACAAAGATTACTTACATCATTCCCAGTTTTATACCGATCTGTAAATTTAGTATGAATTCAAATGTATAAAGCAATGGGTTATAAAAACAGGTCATTTTTATTCTCTCTTGTCCCATATTTTCTATTGTCTTCAATGAGCAATTTTTTTATTATTTTGGTAACATAGGATTAGTCTCCTTCACTGACTCAACTGGGAACAGGAATTGGATGATTGACAAAAATGTTGGCTAAAGTGGGAAACCATAAAATATGACTACTATCATAAACATGACTTAAAATGCACATGTAAATACACCATTTATTCCTCTACCCATCTTTTCATATAAGTCTAAAACCTCTTCTTTGAATATGGATGGGTTAGGGTTCTAGCTCATCTATCTTAGATTAGAAAACACCACATAAATCTATGACTATTCCAATTCCCATGTCTTTTTTGTTGTTGTTGCTAATCCTCACCTGAGGATAGTTTTTCCATTGATATTTTTTTTTAGAGAAAGTGGAAGGGAGGGGGACACAGCAAGAGAGAAACATAAATGTGAGAGAGACACAAACTGGTTGCCTCCCGCACGTGCCCTGACCAGGGGTGGGGATCGAACCTGCAACTGAGGTACACGTCCTTCACCAGAATCAAACCTGTGACCCTTCAGCCTACGGACCAACACTTTAACCACTGAGCCAAACCAGCTAGGGTAAGTTTACACAATCCTATATAATAAAAGGCTAATATGCAAATAGACCAAACAGCAGAATAACTGAACAACTGAACAACCGGTTTCTATGACATGCGCTTACCACCAGGGGGCGCACGTGGATCATGATGGGCATTGGGTGTGGCAGGATGGTGGAGCAGGTGAGCGGGGGTGCCAGAGCAAAGTGGAGCACCAGTTGCTGTCATCAGGGCAAGCCTCTGGTGGTTACTGAAAGTTCTTTGCTCCCATGCTGCAGTCCCACCCAGCATTCACAGCCGCTGCCAGTTTACTAGCCGGTGCTAGTCCCGATTGCTCATCACCATCAGCGGGTGCAAGCAGCGGCTGCTGGCTCCGATCACCCCCGAGGGCTTCTCCACCTCCCCCTGCTCCTGAAGGGTAATCAGGGCAGAAGCTGCCGCTCACACCCACTGACCATGCCAGCCCTGCTCGCACCCACTGCTGGCACTGGCCCCAATCGCTCCGCGCCATCAGCGGGTGCGAGTGGGGCCAGCGCCATCAGTGCATGGGAGAGGCAGTGGTGGGAGCGGGGCTGCCAGCACACAGGGGACCAGAGGCTGTGGTGGGAGGGGCCAGGTGGGGGCATGGAGGATGGGCCAAGACCCACCCCTGTGCCCACTGCAGCCTCACGGCCCACAGTTCCCTTTCAAGGTGCACGAATTCGTGCACTGGGTGGGCCCCTAGTATTTTAATAAATTATGTAGTCACGACAGGTGGTATAACTTATACCAATGGTTTGAGGACAAATAAGTGACCTTTACTAAACATATGCCTCACCAGATGGGACACAACAGCATCCAAGAAAGTATGTACAAGCCAGTGCACTTAGTGTGCTGTGGGTATCAGTAGGTGTGATTTATGAAGGGAATGAAGGGTGGCAGAGAGGTTGACTGCATGGATGCTGCTTGCTGTGTTTATGCATTTTGAGACTCTGAAACCATCCTCCACTGTTGTTTTCCTTAAGGGAAGAGGCTGTTGAGAAATGAAAAGCATGGTTTGAAAGAGGCAGTGGGGAGCAGGGGACATGCCAGTCTCCCCTTCCTCCATGAGTGTGGGGGTAGGAGTGTGCATACATATGCATGTGTCGAGGGAAGTAGCATTCTGAGTGGCAGAGGGACCTGGAGGTGTCTTTTATTGAACACAGTATCGCCAGGAAGCCAGACTTCAAGCTGTGCCAAACAGCCTGACCGGCATGGCTCAGTGGTTGAGCATTGATCTATGACTCATGCCCAGGTTTCGGGCTAGATCCCCAGTTTGGGGTGCACAGGAGGTAGCCGATCAATGATCCTCTCTCATCACTGATGTTTCTACCTCTCTCTCTCCCTTCCTCTCTGAAATCAACAAAAAAATATATATATATTTTAAAAGTTATGCCAAACAAGTGGCAGAAATGATGAAATGAGAGGGTGGAGTAAATTTTGTTCACTATGCAATAGTGGTCTCACTGGGTGAAAACTCAAAAGGGTCAAGAGAAAGAGTGAAGATAAGGCTGTGAGCCAGCACAGGAAGAGGGAGGGGAAAGGGGATCTGGCCCCCGGTCAAAATCATGACTACACAGGACAAAGGAAGCAGGAAGCTGTGAGGCAGGCTGTGGACATGAACTCTCGGTTTCTTTCTTTCAAATATTGACTGAACTGTTTTGCACGTGATCTTCAGCTGGTTTTTGGTACAAAATCTCTGTCCCTAAGAGGAGTGATGCACACGTGGGTGAGAGTAATTGCAGACCTCTCGAACTTTACACCCCAGTTAGAGAGATCAACAGAAGTACAGCTGTCAAGGCCGGGTAGTTGGTAATAAGTCCAATAAGAGCAGTACAGATAGCAAGCGCTGCAAAACAAGATTCTTTTGGCCTTGAGAGGCAAGTTGAAGCAGGTTCCTCCTCACCCTCTCCAACGCCTCCGACTCACTTTAGCACTGCTCATTCCTCTGCTATCCAGAAGGGCTAACAGTTGCCTAGAGCTCCCTGTCGCTTACCTAGTTGTACTGATTCATGGTTAAAACCTCCCTAAAAACTGCCCCACCAGCATGGCTCAGTGGTTGAATGCCGACCTATGAACTTACAGCCGTGGGCAAACTATGGCCCGCGGGCCGGATCCGCCCGTTTGAAATGAATAAAACTAAAAAAAAAAAAAAAAAGACCGTACCCTTTTATGTAATGATGTTTACTTTGAATTTATATTAGTTCACACAAACACTCCATCCATGCTTTTGTTCTGGCCCTCCGGTCCAGTTTAAGAACCCATTGTGGCCCTCGAGTCAAAAAGTTTGCCCACCCCTGAACTAGGAAGTCACAGTTTGATTCCCGGTCAGGGCACATGCCTGGGTTGGGGGCTCGATCCCAGCTGAGGGGTGTGCAGGAGGCAGCCAATCAATGATTCTCTCTCATCAGTGATTTTCTCTCCCTCTCTCCCTTGCTCTTCCTCTCTAAAATCAATATATATTTTTTAAAAATTAAAAAAGACCCTAAAACCTCCCTAAAAACTAATGAAAGACTTTATTTGTGAAGAAAGTGACCGCAGAATAAAGAATCCATTACTAGCTTTACCAGTGTTCAACACATGCCAAATCTTTCTCACTACCCTCCCTCCACATAATTTAAAGTAAATCCCACGTGTCATTTTATGTCATGCATAATGTTTTGAAATAGCTCTCTCAAAGCTAGGACTCCTTTAAAAAAAACACACAATACCAATATCACACCTACACAAATGAACAATCTTTCTTGAATGTCAAATATCCAGTTGTCTTATAAATGTCCTAAATGAGTTCTAAAAATATTTTAGACTTTATGCCAAAAACAAATGTAAAGGCACCAATGTGTTATATGATCAGTGGTATAAATGAGAAGCCACACGATTTGTGAGAGGACAAGGGCTTCTGCTATAAACTTGTGTACATTGCTGACTGGGTGCTAGCACTGCTTTAGGAGCTCTGCATATAGTAACTCATTTAACTCTATGATACAGTTGAATGTACCATTTTATAGATGAAGAAACTTAGGCCCAAAGAGTTTACATAACACGTCCAAAGTCGCTCAGCTAACCCAAATGTCCATCAGCCGGTGAATAAACAAAATGTGGTTTATCCATTCAACTGAGTATTACTGGGCTATAAAAATGAATGAAGTACTAATGCCTGCAACAACATGGATGATCCTTGAAAACACTATGCTAAGTGAAAGAAGCTGATAGTGTGATGTTCCTCCAGTGTGGAGGCTGCACACACTGGGCCACCTCCCTTGGCTCTAACTCCAGCAACAAAGGTCACTCTGCTTGAGGTAGGCTTGAGAGCTTTACCAAGCAGACAAGGCCCTCTTCTACCTCCTACTGACTTAGCTACACAGTCCAGAACAGGGAAGAGCAACAAAGATCCTTGGTGAAGACCAGGAGAGTGGTGGCCGCGAACACTTGTGTGTGTTTAGAGGAGGGAGAGGACGGTCACAATAGGAGATATCATCTTGGGAAGGGACAATTTGGGAATGTGAGGCTGCACAGAGTATCTGTACTCCTGAAAACAACTGAAAAAGAGGTCTAGAAACCTGGTGGATCACTTGCAACCAGGAAGGTTTTCTGGAGCTGGCATCAATCTTAAATGAATAACAAGGAAACTGCAGCTCAGATTCAAAGCGCCTGGGGACTAGGGACTTATGGTTTTAGGGCTCTGTTTTACACCAAGGCTATTGAGACAGAGTCCAGTTCCTCGATGTCTAGTGACCCCACGAAGCCCACATGCCACGTAGATTCTGAAGCCTGGGTGCACATCAAAAAGATGCTTTCATCGCTTCTCGGCCTTTTGGCTAAGATCAAGTGCAAAAAGATGCTTTCATTTTACAAACACGTGAATTCAGCCAAATTTTATAACAAGGGTTTGCATTCTCTGAGATTTTCAGGTACTGGTGGCGATCAAAACCTAGAATCCTACTTAGGCTGACACATGTTCATGGTTTAAGATAGAACTAGAAGTAAAACCCTAGTCAATGAAGTAGAAACTCCCATTTTGAGCAGCGCGAATTATGCATCTTTTCCTGAACTGCCTAAAAAGAACATTTCATATTTGGGTGAAGTAGCTTGGGCCCAGAGTGGCCTGAGGACTCGGCAAACAACTGAGCAACATAACCCTATCTCCAAGCTGCCTCGATAGCACCACAATCCTATTTGAAGTACAATCGCTAACATTACAGTGGTCTCCTTACCTTTCACGACATCAGCCACGTTGCAGGTGGGATCGATACTTCCAATGTGTTTAGGATGAGCAGGATTTGTGTCACCACCAAACAAAAGCGCTAAACAAACACAGAAGGGAAGGGAGAGAATAAACAAAGTAGGCTGGGATGGTCAAGCAGAGAAAAATGGAGGATTCTCGTGTTTGTAAGAATCATTTTAGCATCCACATTGACTTAAAGTAACAGAATAGAGTGGGGCAAAAGTGGGTTTACAGTTGTATGTGAAAAACAGAGTTCATTTTTGTATTCTTTTTTATTGTTGTATCCTTTTCCATTATCAACAACTGTAAACCTACTTTTGCCCTACCCTGAATATATGATGAGGGGACAACGAAGAAGGAAGAATGTGCTTTAAGACCTGTCAGTAGCGCTCAGCAGGTCCTAAAGCAGTGACACATACCAGGTGTCCAATCCTTTCTTCCTGAACCAATGTAACTTTGATGAAAAAACTTGCTTTCAATTTAACCCACCTTCTCAATACTACTGCGGACATTTAATCCAACATTCACTCAATAGTTAGAAAACACAGCCTGCTCATTAGGCTAGGCTTGTGAGATGTCTTCACTGTGAACATTTCAAATGCCTCCATCATGGAGATTATTTTTCAATGTTGTATACACAAATGATATTTGTTCAAGTATTTTCTTTAACCCCGAAGTTTTAATTTTTTTTAATCCTCACCCAAGGATATGTTTATTGATTTGGGAGAGAGAGGGTGGGAGAGAGAGGAACATCGATCAGTTGCCTGTTGCCTTCCGTACGCACCCCAACAAGGGGATCAAACCTGCAACCTAGATATGTGCCCTAACTGGCAATCGAACCCTCAACCTTTTGGTGTATATGATGACACTCCAACCAACTGAGCCACCTGGCCAGGAACATTCAAGTATTTTTAAAAGTATAAATGCTCTCAAAATACACAAGATTGGCAAATTTTACTTTTGAACAAAAGCCAAAAGGAGCCCCAAAGGAAAAAGTAATCTAACTTCAGTGTTTATAGATACAAATATAACATTTATTTATTTTTGGTATAGTTATTTTTAAATCAAACAAAAATTGGGAACAACTTAGCTTTCACAAAAGGAGAATGCTTAAATAATATAGGGGAGAGAACCAAGATGGCGGCATAGGTTAACGCCGGAGATTGCTGCCTTGAACAACCAAATCAAAACACACCTAAAAGACGGAACGGACATCATCCAGAACCACAGGAAGGCTGGCTGAGTGGAAATTCTACAACTAGGAGGAAAGAGAATATCATACCCAGACTCAGAGGAGGCGCAGTGCTGAAGTGAAATACTCAGGTACGGAGTGCGCGCGCGGAGCGGGCTGGCGGCGGGGGGCGCGGTTGGTGCTTTTAATCGGGAGGGAGTCTCAGATTTTGAGCTCCAGATCCGGGCGAGTCTCTAGGGACCCAGACTCAAACGGGAGAAGAGGGACTGTCTGGCTTCAGTCGGAACTCGAAGGCAGCTTTCTCTCCGAGGTTTGCAGCGGTTGCTGGGACTCTGTGAGGCAGAGCCCCTAGGGACGGAACTGAGAGCCACCATAACTGCTCTCTCCGGCCCACCCTATTGATCCCAAGCCCGAGCGACCCACCCGCCCTGCCCAAGCCCTGCGCAGAGCCATTTGCCAGATAGCCTCAGGCAAAGGCTAGATTAGCACCTCCCCAGAGGACAGAAGTTTTCCCACTGCAGACACAGCTGATTCTCACAGCCAGCTGGCCTGGAGGTCAAATTCCCCTAGTATTAACTATAACAATCAAGGCTTAACTACAGGAGGACTGCACACAAAGACCACTAGGGGGTGCACCAAGAAAGCATAACAAAATGCGGAGACAAAGAAACAGGACAAAACTGTCAATGGAGGATATTCAGTTCAGAACCACACTTTTAAGGTCTCTCAAGAACTGTCTAGAAGCCGCTGATAAACTTAATGAGATCCTCAACAAATCTAATGAGACCCTCGATGTTATGATAAAGAACCAAGTAGAAATTAAACATACACGGACTGAAATAACAAATATTATACAGACTCCCAACAGCAGACCACAGGACCGCAAGAATCAAGGCAAAGATTTGAAATGCGAAGAAGCTAAAAACACCCAACCGGAAAAGCAAAATGAAAAAAGAATCCGAAAATACAAAGATAGTGTAAGGAGCCTCTGGGACAGCTTCAAGTGTACCAACATCAGAATTATAGGGGTGCCAGAAGATGAGAGAGAGCAAGATATTGAAAACCTATTTGAAGAAATAATGACAGAAAACTTCCCCTACCTGGTGAAAGAAATAGACTTAGAGGTCCAGGAGGCACAGAGAACCCCAAACAAAAGGAATCCAAAGAGGACCACACCAAGACACATCATAATTAAAATGCCAAGAGCAAAAGACAGAGACTCTTAAGAGCAGCAAGAGAAAGAAACTCAGTTACCTACAAGGGAGTACCCATACGACTGTCAGCTGATTTCTCAACAGAAACTTTGCAGGCCAGAAGGGAATGGCAAGAAATATTCAAAGTGATGAATACCAAGAACCTACAACCAAGATTACTTTATCCAGCAAAGCTATCATTCAGAACTGAAGGTCAGATAAAGAGCTTCACAGATAAGGAAAAGCTAAAGGAGTTCATCACCACCAAACCAGTATTATATGAAATGCTGAAAGGTATCCTTTAAGAAGAGGAAGAAGAAGAAAAAGGTAAAGATACAAATTATGAACAACAAACATGCATCTATCAACAAGTGAATCTAAGAATCAAGTGAATAAATAATCTGGTGATCATAATAGAATCAGGGACATAGAAAGGGAATGGACTGACTATTCTTGGGGGGGAAAGGGGTGTGGGAGATGCAGGAAGAGACTGGACAAAAATCATGCACCTATGGATGAGGACAGTGGGTGGGGAGTGAGGGCGGATGGTGGGGCGGGAACTGGGAGGAGGGGAGTTATGGGGGAAAAAAAGAGGAACAAATGTAATAATCTGAACAATAAAGATTTAATTAAGAAAAAAAAATAATATAGGGGAGATTTTAAATTATAAAAATTCTGAATATGAGCACTAGGCCAATACATAAAGTTCCAACTGATTAAGTGAAAGAAAATCAGAAGTGACAAGCTTAGTCCATGATCTAAAAACATGTACATATAGCCTGGCCAGTGTGGCTCAGTAGTTGAGTGTCAACCTATGAACCAGGACGTCACGGTTCGATCCCCAGTGTGGTGTGTGCAGGAGGCAGCCGATCAATGATTCTTTCTCATCACTGATGTTTCTCTCTCTCTCTCTCTCTCTCTCTCTCTCTCTCTCTCTCTCTCTCTCTCTCTCTCCCTTCCTCTCTGAAATCAATAAAAGCATATTAAAAATAAATAAAACATATACATATATACACAGACACAGATTTAGGTCAGTAAGACATTATTGTTATCTAAGTAGTTTAGTTAAATAGTATATAGGTTCTTTTTTTCCTTCAAATCTCCTATAAATTGTCATACTTTTTAAAAAATAATAAATTACCTTTATTATCAATCATCAGAGTGATATGCTTTGATTATTGTTGTAAAGAGTTATATATTTTACTTGTAACTAATATGATTTTTTTCAAGTACAGTTGACATTCAATATTATATTGGTTTCAGTACACAGCATACCTTTCTATTTTTAAAAGCTATACATTCAGAACCAACCACATTTATTTTTTTATGTGCCCAGGCATGAATCAGCTGGCCAACAACACAGGCATCAGCTAGAATGAACTAAGGATTGTGTGCCTGCTTTGCCCCTGATGGATATAAGAGCGACACCACCAATCTGGTGTCTCCTTGCCCATTGCCAGGGGGTCCAACCTTCATGTAATAGCTGTATAACATTCATTTATTCAAATAAATAAAATTAGTAAAATAAAGATACATTATCCATTTTATGACTCAGTAAAGAGGATGATTTAGACTCTAGATGTGTGTATACTTTTTCATAAGAATTATGAAATCAGCCCGGCCGGCATGGCTTAATGGTTGAGCATTGACCTATGAACCAGGAGATTATGGTTCGATTCCCGGTCAGAGCACATGCCTGGGTTGTGGGCTCAATCCCCAGTGTGGGGTGTGCAGGAGGCAGCCAATCAATGATTCTCTCTCATCACTGATGTTTCTATCCCTCTCTCCCTCTCCCTTCCTCTGTGAAATCAATAAAGATGTATTTTTTCAAAGGAATTATGAAATCAGGCAAAGAGACAATGCTAAAAATAAGCCCCAACTTTTTTTGTGGAGAAAATTTTAGTTGCTTTTTTTTTCTTATCTGCTTATCAGCCTGGAGAGTGGACTAAATCTCTCAGGATTATGGTTTGATAACTCACTTAATCTGTTTTCACTGATCATTATGACATAAAAGACCAATTGCTCATATTGTCAACATGCCAATTCAATATTCCCAGAAACAATGTTTTTAAAACCAAAAAGGAAACCATCCAATAACCTGGAAAAAATACTAGAAAATTCTCTCAGAGACACATAAAAGTGTTTGGAGATTAATACGGCGCCATTAAAGCTGGACCTTTGCCCCCATCAGGAATGGGACAGCAAAGGCTTAGCATCAAAAAACATTTCAATGATTTATTTGAACAAAGAATACTAATGAATAGCTTTTTACTAGATAGGATTTACTTAGAAAAAAAACTTAACTAGGAATGAAATTTCTACAGACAAAAATGCAGATCTGTAACAGGGAAACATATGGAAGAAATCACTCTGATTACCATTTCAAATCTGGACCAAAAGCCCGACTTACTGTGCTGGTTAATAAGCATGCGGAAGGAGATGCGGTTGGTATAGAAGCGATCCAGAAAATACTGGATGTTACTGCTAATGAATGGATCAAACCCAAACTTCTCCTTGTATTCAATCACCCCTTGTGCCATTGTAGGAACCACATCATTGTGTCTATTTCTGACTTGAATAAGAACTTGTAGAAAGCTGTGTGGGAGAGAAACAAAAGTAGTCAGTCTTTATACCTCATGGCTGATGCATAACCTCCCCAGTTCCATCTCCGGACTATTTATCTTCTGGTATTTCTATAGGTAGAGACATCATAATCATTACAGGTTACAAGGAAGAACTCATGGGAAACAGAAGTATTACCTAAGTTTTTGCCTGAAACTTTCTACAGAAATTCTTTCGGAGACACAAAAAGTAAACAGTTCCAGTAAAGAAAAAATGCTCAAATACCTTTTTAAGGAATCCACTGCCTTTTTGGATAAATGATCTATATATATATATATAAAAGGCTAATATGCAAAGTGTCCCCTCAGGAGTTCGACTGGAAGACCGGGAGTGATCACTCGCTATGAAGTGCACTGATAACCAGGGGGCAGCGTGGAATGAAGGCAGGCTCCGGCTGGCAGCCAGAAGACCCTTATCAGCCCTGATCACCAATCAGGCTTAGGGACCCTACCCATGCAGGAATTTCATGCACCAGGCCTCTAGTTACATATAACACAGGTTCTATAAATATTTGCTGAATAAATAATTGCAGAGCACATTATTTCTTCTGACAACATGAGGACAATCCAAAAAATTTTCCAAGAATTTATTATGGAGTTCCAAAGCAAAAGGTTCAGATGGTCAGACACTTAGCATATTAGCTATTTATTCAATATGCTAATGAATAAATAATGTCAAACTTTTAAAGAGTAAAATTTTGAAATACAATTCTCATAGCAGTAAAATATAGTGATGAAATGTAGATAGAATAAAGACAAAACAAACCTATTTAAGTATTGTGGTATATTACTGTAAAGATGTAGACAGAAAATGTATTATGAATGGTACGTAACTAAGAAAAGAAAGACAAGTCAATGGAACCAATAAAAAGCTTGGAACCAGGATGAAGGGTGAGTATATGCATATAAAAATTGAGCATATCGATAAAGTGGCATTGCAAATCAGTCGGGAATCAATCAAATTACCTGGGACAGCTGCTTAACAATTTAGTCACAACCCAATTTCCAGCCTTCAGCCAAACAGTGGGTTAAGAGATTTAAATGCAAGAGGGCAAAATCACATAAAAGATAAAAGAAAATCAGGTGAGAAAGTATATAACCTTGGAGTAAGGAAGGCTGTTCTAAATTTAATACCAAAGGCAGAAACCAGGAAGAAAGAAATTATATGACTGGGTAGAATTTCAGCAATTCTGTCAAAAAAAACCCAAACAAACAAAAAAAAACAAGGAAAACTGGGAAAAGTCTATTTGGAAGAGTTACTATCCTTAATAAAAAAATAAAAAAAAAGATGAGCCCCCACCATAGGAAAACTAGGCAAGTAATATGGTATCAAAGGAGAATTACCAGAGGAAACGCAAATGCCAAAAACTTCCCCTTCACAAATCATAAAAGAAAAACAAATTAAAACAGTGCAACAGCTGTATTTAAGAGCTGTTCTTTTTTTTTTTTTTATTGCTTAAAGTATTACAAAGGGTATTACATATGTGTCCATTTTATCCCCCCGCCCTAGACAGTCCCCTAGCCTCCCCTATCCCCCAATGTCTTATGTCCACTGGTTATGCTTCTATGCATGCATACAAGTCCTTTAGTTGATCTAAGAGCTGTTCTTTAGAGCAGCGGTCGCCAACCTTTCGGACCTCACGGACCACCAGTGGTCCGCAGACCACAGGTTGGCGACTGCTGCTTTAGGGCACTGTTCCTAGTCACAAGGAAACTGTAAACCCTTCTAAAACCCAAAGATAGTTCAAATCCCATGACTTATCTTTAGATGGACTATTATGAAACTGAATAGTGCTGTAGATCTGTAACGTCATATGGTTATTTTTGTAAAAAAAAAAAAAAATTCATACAAATGCATAGGTATGCCTGGTTAAAAGTTGGGATGGAAGGAAAATGTTTAGAATAGTTGTCCCCTGGCAGTGGAAATGTGGAGTGACTTTCTTTTTAATTATCTGAATAGTCTTATTTTTCCCAATGATGAAATATGTCTGTAACAAATGCATACAAAGACAGGAAACCTGAGTAAATAAACTCTGAAATTAGGAGGTCATAATTATTCACAAGAAATTTTATGATGGACAATTTGTCCTTTACATAATGCTCTTTCTTTTTTCTTTTTTGTTTTGTTTTGTTTTATTGTTAATCCATAAAACAATATTTTTCCATTGATTTTTAGAGTATATTTTCCATTGATTTTTAGAGAGAGTAGAGGGAGGAGGAGAAACATCAATGTGAGAGAGACACATCGATTGGTTGCCTCCCACACGTGCCCCGACCAGGCCCGGGATTGAGCCTCAACCAAGGTATGTGCCCTTGACCAGAATCAAACCAGGGGCTCTTGTCCTCGGGACTATGCCCTATCCACTGAGCCAAACTGGCTAGGGCCACAATGCTCTGTGTCTCAACTTATCTGAAAGGAGGAGACTTGCCTTCATGGTTCAATTCTCAGCTACTTGCCCCATCTTCCGGGGCTCTTCTAAGCTTATCTATATATATAAACAGCAAATATGTTAAGTGTCCAACCATCTGACTGGTCGCTATGATGCACACTGACCACCAGGGGGCAGTCAACGCAGGAGCGGCTGAGCTGCAGTGACTTGGCAGTGGCGGTTCTCAGGTGATACACCCCGAAACCAGAGAGGAGGGAGCCCGACTCCTCGCGGGGCTGCGCGATTCCACCTTTGGCCATGGTTTATGTTGTTGCTGGGGCACTGTCGCCCCAAATCTGGTTTACTGCACACTTGCATTTGCATTCCACACCCTGTATGACAGCAACTTTGCAGAGTGCCCTCTCGCACTCTGGGACCCCTTGGGGGATGTCAGAGAGCCAGTTTCAGCCCGATTCCCGCAGACCAGGCTGAGGGACCCCACCTGCCAGAGGGACTCCGCTCACTCTGCAGATGCCTGAGAGGGACTGCGGGAGGTTGCCTCCAGGACGCGTGCGGCCCATCTCGCTCAGTCCTGCCCTGCCGGCCACCTTCTAATTAATTTCCTTTCAATGTGCACAAATCTGTGCACTGGGTCACTTAGTCATTACATAAATGTGCTTGTCCTCTAAGCTACTTTCACTCTACTTAAATGATTTCCCTGCCCATGACTCCTATATAACCTCTCACTGAACACAAAAGACTACTACTATGAGTAACATGACTCACCTTCACTCCTTCCTTCACTATGGGCCCCAGGCTTCAAAAATCCCAAATATCCTAACTAGCTGTGTGCACCTAGGCAAGTTTCCAAAGCTTCCTGAGTGAGAGCAATTATTACAAAGATCTTGGACACACTGGACCTAGCACTTAGCAGTTTACATTGCAGGCTCACGTCCATAAATCACATCAGACTGACCACCTGTTCCAGAAGCTGAGACAGGACTCTGGGAACCACACAGCAGAAATTGAATATCACATACTTCCACAAATCTGTGTCCTAAAATTCGAAGCTAGAAAAGAGGCCAGTCCTCATTTTTAAGATATCAGCCAAGCAAACTGTTACTTGCTAATGACTTCTGAGAAAACAAAGCTTCTGGATTGGATTCATTTAATTTCAAAACCTTAAATGACAGCAAGAGTTGATAGTAATGCCCAACTGGCGTGGCTCAGTGGTTGAGTGTCGACCTGTGAACCAGGAGGTCATGGTTCGATTCCCAGTCTTCAGGCTTCAGGCTTGATTCCCAGTGGGGGCATGCAGGACGCAGCTGATCAACGATTCCCTCTCATCATCGATGTTTCTATCTCTCTCTCCCTCTCCCTTCCTCTCTGAAATCAATAAAAAATATATTTTTAAAAAACAAGTTGATAGTAAGAAAAACACTGCATCTGGAACTCTAACCTTCCTTCCACATTTCACAGATTCATTGCACAAACACCTAGCCAAGTATAAAACAGGTCAATATTTTCCCCTTTATATTTTAATTTACAGCTAAACTTGACCTAACTACTCATGGCTTGACCCAGCAGTGCTGGCAGTATGGTACATGGTCAAGAACAATGTCCTACGAAAAAGGAAATGTGATTTCCAGATCCAGCTCTACTACTCACTAATGTTGTGATCTTGGGCAAGTCACCTCACACCTTGACCTCAGTTTCCCTATCTGTGAATTGAGAGGGCTGGGTCAAATGCCTGGTGCTGAGGTCTTATATAAAGTGTTGTTTCTCTAGTTCTTTTAATGGAACACCTATATGTAAGGTGCTCAGTCTCACAATTGTGTGGACCAGGTTTCTACTCAGAAATTCCTCAGCACAACGGGCCTTCCATATGCATTCATTCATGTGTTTATGAAACAGGAAGAAAGTAATGTAAAAAGGATACTTCATTTCCCTGAGGGAAAGAGCCACACTCAGAGCTAGGGTTCGTGTTTCCTGGCTAAATGAAAATGAAAAACAAATATTTCCCATCAGCATGAGAATTTAGTGGTCTTCGTGCATAATAGCAGCAATAGAATCAAAGTTGTCATATAAAAAGGACACTCTTTTCTGTTTCTCCAAAATAAAACCATTATTGATTTTCTGCATTCAAATGTAGCAACACATTGAACATTTTCTTTAAAGACTGAAAAGATTGTGTAATAGCTTATTGGTACCGTGGAAGAAATGGGCATTGAGCAAATCAAGAGCTCGGAGAGCTCTCGCCAATCAATCAGAAGGCAACAGAGAAATATATGAAGGACTTCCTGTACTTATGCTGAACAGAAGGAGCAATAGGGACATGCTTGTCTTGGTGCTGAGCTTAGAAGAAAAGATTTCAGCTTTTCACTGGTCCTTCCTCAAGTGGCTAAATAGATGAACAAGGAAGAGCAAGCAAGAGTACAGATTTAGAAGACTATAAGACAGATTTGTAAAGAATAGTCAACTGCCACAGTACTGGTGGACCCAGGGGTGCAGATGACAGACGTTAGACTGCCATATGGAAAATATTTTTATAAAGGATAATTCAAGCATTAATATGTTTCAGTGTCACGCAAAAAGTTTTAAATGCTTTTAGTGGATAATTTCAAACATCTCTTTTGCATCACACTATTAAACCACTTAATCTATATGTAATAAAGCAGACTACAGTTTGTGATTATAATTCATCAAGCAAAACTTTGAACTGTCTGTGGTACTTAATTATATAACCAGGAAGTAGTAATTTTAATGTAAAACACAGTTCAATGAATGATGCAATTAATATCTTAAGTAAATGTCTTTGTAAAATGTCACCAACTCAGATTTAAGGTAACAATATATGGCATGTCCAAAACATGCATACACACTTTAACAGCTGATAGCTCAACTGATGTTGCTTTCTTTTCAGCCAGACTAAGTTTTGAACAAAGGAAATTCATCCTAAAATGCTACTGGAAGTTTGAAAATGCAGTTGAAGTACAAACATTGCCTTTATAATTATTCAAAGTGTATATACATTTTTGGGGGTATCCCAAAAAATATATACACACTTTAACAGCTGATAACTCACTTAATTTTCACTCCATTTCAGGTTTAACTGATTTGATATAGTGGGTGAAGCTAGACTAAGCTTTGAACAAAGAAAATTAATCTGCTGGACTTTTTTATGGAGATACATAAAAGATAAAAGTTTGCGGTACAAAACTGGCAAGAGTTGACTAATTAAAGGTGCACAAATACCAAACAAAATGATTTTTTATGTTTGCCATTCCATTGCTTTACATTATCAGCAGTGTCTGGACCACAATGGTCATCAGTTTGAAAAAAGGCATTGATAAAAAAATTATTCATTTCTGTAGAATCTTTTAAATTTTAAAATGAACTGTATGTTAATAAATACTAACTTTATAACCATTCAAAGTATGTATACATTTTGGGGGGACACCCTATATAATGCAAGAACTTCATCAGTGGTCAGGATTAGTAATTTTAAATAGACTACATGAAGATTTTAATATGTATCATAATATAATAAAAAGAGAAAAAATTGTATCACTGTCACAAATAACCTAGTTAGTTAGCTGTATGCAATATGCATCTGGATTGTTTGAAACTGTAAAAGTAAAGAATTTGTAAGTCTAAATAAATAAATATTTCTTAAAAATACTGTAAAGGACTGCGTAGATAGATTCATGCATATAAAGAGACCACTGCATTCTTCAAATGACCACTAGGTGGAACATTTACTGCAACATTTAGAGTGAGGGCCAACACCAGTTCCCCATAAGCACAAAAGTATTAAGAATTAGATCATATCATGCTAAGCAAAATAAGTCAGATGGAAGATGTCAAGTACCCTATGCTTTCACTCTAATGTGGGATATAAAACTGAAAGCAACATATGAACAAACAAGACAAACAAATGAAAAAAACTCCTAGACACAGAAAACAAACAGTATGGTGGTTGCCAGAAAGAAACTGGTAGTAAAGAGTAAAGAAGAACAAATATACGGTGTGGGTAATGAACACACAATGGAATATACAGGTGCTGTATTATAGAATTGTACACTTGAAGCTGATATTTTATTTAAACAATGTCACCCCAATATAGTTAATTAAAATTTTTTTAAAGAATTAGATCATGAACCATAATCTAAGTGTCATTATTTATTTTGTACTGTTATGTTTGTAACTCAATTTTTAAATTAAAAAAGGCAATGTTGAGTCATTCCCCACTAAGAAACCTAATGCTTCCATCCAAATTATACTTCTTGATTCTCACTGACATGAACTCCATTCACCAAACCACTTTTTACCTAGATCTTTTGACTTTTAGATGAGCTTGGTACCATACTTACTTATCTAAGACCTTTGGATCCTCAGGGCTCTTATTTTCATACTCCAAAAGTTCAAGGAAGCTCTGCATATACCTGAAAAAGGAAGACCTACTGCGTTAGCTATCTACCCAACACCCATTTCTCCTTTCCCTCTTCCATAGAGTAATCCCCATTTTTACTCAAGTAACATCCTCTCCCCTCCCCCAAGCAGTTCAAGTGCTTCGGGAAAAGCCGATGCCACACACATTTCCTGGGGGGCCTGACTTTTCTCTGGACAATTCTATTTCTCTTGTCACTCATTCCTAATTAGTCTGCTAGTCCAGGTCTAAGCCTGTTACTGCGTCACATATCCCTGGGCACCGGGATTGGCTCAGGAATGGGCATTCTGTCTCAATGCACAACAGTGACATAAGAAAGACTTAATGGAGGTCTCTGGGAGAGAAATCATCTTGCTCTGCTGTTGTAGTTGGCTGTGTGGATGCGAAGACCGGGACTGTTGCAGCTATTCTGTCACCAGGAGGAAATCCAGCCTGAAGGTGAAGCCAACACCGTGGAAAGCAGGACCTTGAGAAGCTCATGAAATCTCTGAATCAAAGCAACACCAAAAGCACATCCTATGGCTGCATCTTATAGTGACAAACAAGCCAATTGTAATTGTTTCAGCCAGGTTTAGTTGGATTTCTTACAAACATACCCTAACTGACACACCAAACCTAGAGTTTAATTATCCAAAAAAATGCACATAAATTGTAAGAAGCACATGTGTGACACTGAATTGTGCGCTAAGAACTTAGAAACCAGAAATAATGAAGGTTCCTTCTCAGAGTTAAATTCTCTTAAACACTCAGAAACAGCTTTAGAATTAAGAAGAGCTCCTCCCTATCTGCCTGGCCAGAGTGGCTCAGTGGTTGAGCATCGAGCTATGAACCAGGAACTCACGTTTCTGTTCCTGGTCAGAGCACATACCCAAGTTGTGGGCTTGATCCCCAGTTGGGGGGCTGGGGGGTGCAGGAGGCAGCCAATTGATGATTCTCTCTCATCATTGATGTTTCTAGCTGTTTCTCCCTCTCCCTTCCTCTCTGAAATCAATAAAAATATATATATATATATATTTTTAAAGAATAGCTCCTTATCTCAATCAAGGCCAGTATAAGAAATAATGTGTCCAACATAAAGATCTAGAGAACACAGAAAAATGGGACCCAGGGAGGCACTTTAACTGTAGCAGCTACATTCACACAGGACCTGCTGGATCCGGTGGGGATGCAGAGATTTCAATTACTCAGAGGTGTGTGATCTCTGCTTTGGGTTTTAACATATCCTGAAAGAAGTATCTCATTCTAATTATGTCTAACAATTAATGACACTAATCCTACTAGCCAGCTCTGATAGAGGATGAGGCTATTTAAGCAACTAAAAGTGACCATTAAGCACATAAATAGATATAAATTATATTTTATTAATCAGCCTCACTTGACCTTTGTGACAATGCATAGTTATGTTCATCTCTGGGTATATTTTTTAAGTCTCTGGGTGGATAAAGCTATGGATTAGATAGTGCTAAAATCATCAGGTCAAACCACCCTGCAAAGGCCACTCTTAAGAGGGAAAAGAAATAACAACTAAACACAATGCACGATCCTGCACAGGATCCCTAAATTGGGGGTAGGGTGTTCTATAAAAAAAGAACACTATTAGCACAATTGATGAAATAAGAAGAAGTTCTACATATTAGAAAATATTACTGGATCAGTGCTAAATCCCCAAATTTAACATGCTGTGGTTTTCTAAGAATTGTTCTAAGTAGATACTTACTAAACTATTTAGGGGTAAAGGGTCATGATGTCTAGCATTAATGCAATGTTTCAGGAAAAAAATAACATGTGCGTATATTATATATGTGTGTGCATTATGCCATACACACACACACACACACACATATACATATACATATACACATATATATACAGAGAGAGAATATGAATGAGAATGGTAGAACAAATGTCAAATGTTAGCAATTAGTGAATCTGGGTAAAGGTTTGTAATGGGAATTCTTGCTACTAGTCTTGCAAACCCTTCTGTTAAGTAGGAAATTATTTCAAAATTGAATGTTTAAGAAAAGAAAAGGAGGAAATGACGTGTGTGTGTGTTTGGAACGGCCATGGAAAAGAATGGTGAGGAGACACAAAGAGTTGGCACAGTAATTTGAGTCTATACTTTGCCAATAATTCACTTTGAAGCTCCTGAAGTACTTTTTAAATAAGTGATAATAAATATTTAACTGTCACTGCCACCAAGACCAGGGGACTTGAAAGTCATCTAGCCTGCCTAGAACCCCCACCACGGTAGCCCCCAATAGTGCTTATATACTTGCTCTTGGAAATCTCTAATGATGGCCTTGAGCAATAAATAAGTCTCATGCAAACTTGCTGCTCCTTCTGAAACAAGCTATGCATTTAGTGTAGAAAGCAACTGACTATGAGATCAAAGCCATGGTCGCCATCTCTCCTGGGTTCCAGGGCCCCTGTGCCTCCCACAGGGAGGAGCTGCTGTGTGTCTGGGACAGGGACTGGACAGTGGATCTCCTAGACCTCCCAATAGAGTGTTTCTCTATTCTCAGCCCTAAGAATGTATTACAGTTAATACAGGGTGGGCCAAAGTAGTTTGATAGTTGTAAGTGAAGCACAGAGTTTATTCTTGTATTATTCTTTATTTTGTATTATATTATTTTCCATAGGAACAGCTGTAAACCTACTTTGGCTTACCCCTGTATCACTGAGGAATGACTACTAAATGGCCATTCTCTTTCAGTAGCCTGGCCTCCACTGATCCTCTCAATGCAAGTTAATAGTTCAGTTCACCTTGTGTCTGTCCACATCATTCCCTTCCCCTAAAATGCTCTCCCTGTCCCTGTCATTTCCAGCCCCCCTCAAGGGGCAGTACAAAACCACTTGTCCCACAGCACTTCCTCTGTCCCTGCCTGAGAGCACTTTTTGCACCTGGCCTCCCCTTCTCCCCCAGCCTTCTCCAGTGACTTCTACCTCGCTTTTATAATTGAGAGGAGACCTGTGTGTGTTTCTCAAATATATGCAAATCCTTTTCTAAAAATGCACCCACTCTTCTTCATCCTACCACTCACTAACCTCACCCTGCTGACCTAGTCAGTGGTTTACTCACAAATTCAACTTCCTCAATTAAATAACACGTTTTAAGCTCAGAGCTGTATCTGATTGAGCTTTGAGTGATACTTATTACAATTTTTCATACTATTCACAGGGCAAATGCAGCATAGCAAGTAGTGATATTTTTCTAATCCAAGGTCCCTTTACATAACTTAATGTGTTCTAAAAGAAGTATTGCCTTCAAGGAACTTCTTTAAAAGGAAAACAAGCCCTGACCAGTTTGGCTCAGTGGCTAGAGCATTGGCCTGCAGACTGAAGGGTCCCAGGTTCGATTCCGGTCAAGGGCATGTACCTTGGTTGTGGGTACATTCCCAGTGGGGGGTGTGCAGGAGGCAGCTGATGGATGTTCCTAACTCTCTATCCCTCTCCCTTCTTCTCTGTAAAAAATCAATAAAATATATTTTTTTAAAAAAAGGAAAACAAAAGGAGCAAGGCTGAGACTTGATGGAAGCAATAGCCCCATATAAAGGATTGCAGACCTGCATACATCGGTAACTGCATTGCTATTCCTCTGTACTTTTCTGTACTCTCCCATTTTTTAAATAAGTCATCACCATTTCTAAGCAGAAAAACAAAATTTGAAAGGTGTCTTGTACAGTTTAAAAGTATTTTCATTAAGGCAATTTTAAACTGTCAGTTAAAAAAAAAATCCTAATTTGCCTGGAAAACCCGGCTATCCCAAGTGACTCACTCCTACACAGGCGCTGCATGCACTTTTAGGGAGAATGGTCCCAATGCCAACTGTTCAGAGCATCATGGGAAGACCCATTTGAAGGCACATTATTTACTTACCAACTCTGGACCAATCCCACTGAAGGGCGGTTAAGCAAATTATCCGGCAGAAGATTAACTTCTCTCATGGTGTTAGCCAGGCGCACAGGAAGCTCCTTCCGTAGAAACATGTATGACGTTTTTTCACACGCATTGTCTCTCCCTATTCAGAGATGAAAAATTTTCCATGATTTACAATCTAATAGATGGAATAAATGGTGCCATGGTAGCAGTTACTGGTCGGGAAGAGAAAATTAAATAATCCTGCAACCTCTAGTTAAATTTTTATCCTCTGAAATAGCAAATTTAAGAAAATAATTTAATAATAATAGCAAAAGAACATTTATTCCAAGAGGCCACCTTGAAAGCAGTTTTTCTCCTTAACACAAATCTGCCCCTAGTGTTAAAAGTGACCTGGGTCCTAGCAGGTTTGGTTCAGTGGATAGAGCATCAGCCTGTGGACTGAAGGATCTCATGTTTGATTCTGGTCAAGGGCATGTACCTGGGTTGCAGGCTTGAGCCCCAACCCTGGTCGGGGTGTGTGCGGGAGTCAACCAATGGATGTGTCTCTCTCACATCGATGTTTCACTCTGTCTCTCCCCGTCCCTTCCACTCCCTCACAGTGGTTCTCAACCTTCCTAATGCCGTGACCCTTTAATACAGTTCCTCATGTTGCGGTGACCCCCAACCATAAAATTATTTTCGTTGCGACTTCTTAACTGTAATTTTGCTACTGTTATGAATCGTAATGTAAATATCTGATATGCAGGATGTATTTTCAGGGGTCGCGACCCACAGGTTGAGAACCTCTCTGCAAGTCTAAAACTTATCAATGGAAAAATATCCTCAGGTGAGAATTAACAAAAAAAGAAAAGTGACCTGGGATAAAATCTGGGTTTGTTTTCAAATAATCACTGTGGGAAAACTGCCAAGTAGAAAAGTAGGAGAATATATAAATCGACTCTTGTTCAGAGGCATTTCCAGAAGGCAACAGATCCATTCATTCCATAAATATACACCTACTTTATACTGAGATTTTCTTCAAATGTGTTTTTTCAGGGACCACTCTGCCACTCAGGGAAACAGCCACAGACCCCATGGCACCAATTTGAGTGCCTCATTATTGGTAGCTTCTCAACGATTTATTGGAGAATAATACTTTCAGAAGTTTGTAGTTTTAAAAAGGAGCACCTGAAAAATCTCCGGTTTTGCCTCCTACATTCTAATTTAGCTTTCAAGACAAATTCTTTGTACTCAGATACCATAATTATACACCAGCTTAAACGAGGAATACGTCCTTTTATAGTTAGTTAATTAGTGAACCTAAAAATAAATATGAGATACCTGATTTTTTTAAACCTTTCTGTGGTTTTCCTCCTATAGGTTGCAAGTATTTTATCCTGTATGCTACTCAGTTTAAAGCAAAGGGTTCCAATAAACTTTTTAAAGTAAACTTACAAAAAAAAATCCTTCTGGTTTTAATTGAATGTCCTCTCAAAAGGGTTCTGTTTTTATACGTCTTCTGGCAGACTATTTTCCAGTTCTTCTTTCCAGTTATTTGACTTCACTTTTTCCCCACTTCTGTGGCTTTTCCACATTCCTTCATTTTGATTTTCTATTTTTATTCTGCATTTCTCTACTCTATGTTATTTAAATTTACCAATTAAATTAGTCCCTAGTATCAATTCAGAAGATGACAGAGGAGTGGGTGAAGGACATGGAAAATTTTGCCTTTAGTGAACACAAATTAGTCATTGGCTTTAACACACTCATGTTTATTTCTTCAGTTCTTCTTCCTCATTTGATGAGCCTTTCGTTCTGTTCAGCTTTCTGTTTGTTTTTCCTACTTTGCCCTTCCATTGCAAAGCTGGAGACAATGTCTACATTTGCAAAAGGTATTATTGGCATTGCTTAGAAAAGTTCCAAATAGCTTTCCATTCACCAAGATATAGAATGGCCCTGGTTGGTTTGGCTCAGTGGATAGAGTGTTGCACTGCAGACTGAAGGATCCCAGGTTCGACTCCAGTAAAAATATATTTTTTTAAAAAGATATAGAATGAATTAGACATAAAAACACAAATGACAGCCCTGGCTGGTTTGGCTCAGTGGATAGAGCGTCAGCCTGCGGACTGAAAGTTCCCAGGTTCGATTCCGGTCAAGGGCATGTACCTTAGTTGCGGGCACATCCCCAGTGGGGAGTGTGCAGGAGGCAGCTGATGGATGTTTCTCTCTCATGGATGTTCCTAACTCTCTATCCCTCTCCCTTCCTCTCTGTAAAAAATCAATAAAATATATTTTTTAAAAAAAACAACACAAATGACTTTTGATTTAATGCAGAGAGCTCTCTCAGTGGTGGTCGCCGTAAGAAAGGAGCATTTGACTAGCCTTCTGAGAGCAAGAATAATAGTTCAGACTTATTATTTTTATACCTGGTTTCCAGAGTGACCTGTATTTCTGGTGAATCTTTAATACTCTTTTCGACTAATTTACAGGAAGCCAAAAAAGCCCACAATTATTTCTCCAGTTAATGAAGTGACCTTGTATCTTATAGTTAGAGCAGAGGGCTGAGAAACCTCACAGCCACATGTAGAATCTCCTGTCTGGATTTCTTAAAGGCTACCTTTGTCCTTTAACACTTTCACCTTTAACACTTGGTGGGGGATAGTTTGGGAATAGTAGTAATGGAATGAGGGAATGGAAAAGGAGAGCAACAAATGGAAAAATTATTAGCAAGGCATCAAAACCCAACAGAGTGAGCAGCTCATTCACATAATGCTGCTTTTTCTAAATACTGTCAATGTATTTTTACCATTAACCATCTTAAAATGGATAAATTAACCGAGAAAATAGAATTTTCAGGGCAACTCTTTGATTTTTCTCCAGTTGTAAGATTTCAATCTTTTGAAAACATTGAATTTTAGAACTATACATAGTTAATTCTTGGACTTACCAAGGCTAAACAATGATTAATTGAAGAGTCCTTCAGAGACACTGCCTGAAGTGTGAACAGAGAAGCTATCAACTGATTGTGAATATCCTTCAAAAGAATCCCTTAATTTTTTTAGCTTCATTTATACTTTTAAAATGTTTGTTTTACTCCATGTCTAGAAGTACTATTTCACTGCCTGAAAAGTTTAGGTTTTCCTTTGTTTGTGAAAATTTATTCCTGAATATAAAAATAGATCAAAATAGGTAGCAGATTTGGGGTCTACCAAACTTGAGGCTGCTCTCAACTCCAGACCAGGCCTTGTTATTATTACTAACAGTGTTATTACTGACGTTATTGCTAACAGTGAGCCAGAAACTCCAGAGCCAAAGACTGGGGGTTTCGCCCAGCCAGCATGGCTCAGTGGTTGAGCATAGACTGAAGAACCAGGAGGTCACATTCAATTCCTGGTCAGGGTACATGCCCAGGTTGTGGGCTCGATTTCCAGTAGGGGGCCTGCAAGAGGCAGCTGGTCAATGATTCTCATCATTGATATTTCTCTCTCTCTCCCTCTCTGTTCCTCTCTGAAATTAATAAAGATACATTTTAAAAATAAAGAAGAAGACTGGGGGTTTCACACACACCTCTATCCCTTTCATATTCAATACCCCAACAACACCCATATATTACATGACTTCTTTTGGCCCAGTGTCTATTTTATTATGCTCACAGATGTTGTGGGTCAGGGGTTTAGACAGGACACTGGAGGGATGGCTTGTCTGGGACGTCAGCTGGGAAAACTCAAATGCTGGGGAAGTGACTAGACCATGGGCAGAGTCAGCGGGGCTGGAAGTATCTGAAGGCTTCCTACTCACAAGTCTGACCCTACAAGCGTTGCCTACCGGAGACTGCTGGATCACCTGTCAGGGGGCCTCCTCACAGCATGGCAGCCTTGAGCTAGTTGGATTGGGTTTAGTAAACAAGGTGGAAGCTATTTGGCCTTTTATGCCCCAGCCTCAGAAGTCACACAGCTAGCCCCCTTCTGCCATACCCAAGCAGTCACAGCAGTCACAGCCTGCCCGGAAAGACTCCAGGGGAAGGGGATCGGACTCCCCCTCTTGATGGAGGGCTGGCAAAGGCCCATCACAGAAAAGCAACATCATGGCCATCTTTGGAAAAATGACACCCGCCTAAGATGTTCACAAGAAGGTGTAGATTATTTATTTCTCAAATTACATTTTTAAAAATATTTTTTATTGATTTCAGAGAGGAAGGGAGAGGGAGAAAAATAGAAACATCAATGTTGTGAGAGTATCATTGATTGGCTGTGTGCCCTGACCGGGAAACCAAACCAAAGCATGACCTCTTGGTTCCTAGGTCGAAGCTCAACCACTGAGCCACACAGGCTGGGCTCTCAAATTACATTGGCATTTATTTATCTTAGTTTCTTTCTTTCTCGCTGTGGACTTCCCTCAGATGGCTGGCGGTCTTTGCTTACTCAGTCATGTTTGAGAGTGAAGCAACCTAAAGATTGACTAAGTGAACACCCACAACTCCTGATTACATAGGGCTTTTCGGTGGGGGTCCTAACATCACCCCGGCTTTCCTAATCCTTCTTAAATAGTTTATTCAGGGATGCTAGAGAAGAACCTCCCTTTTGCCCTTTACTTTGCCTCGGGGTAACTGCCTGCCTAATAAAGTTTTGATGGTTAGGGTGGAGGGTGACCCTTCTGTTTGAAAACTTCCAGTTCATTCTTCAGCATGGTAACTATATCACAGTGAAGAATGAATGGGCTGTGGGGGGAGATAAAAAGCAAACATAGTAAGTCCCCACTTAATGCCTTCAGGAGGTTCTCCAACTTTTGGTGAAACAGATAATAAAACCAATTTTACCACAGGCTAACTGATACAGACAAGCATTAGGTTCCTATGGTGTCTCATCAACATTATAATGAAACAACATTATTCAAGGACCTGCTGGATGGCACAGTTAACTGGTGAATCTAAGTGCTAGACATGAGTGTTAACTGTATTGTTCTTACAACTTTTCCTAAGGTCAGAAATTTCTCCAAATAAAAGGTCTGGGGGGAGGGGGACATTAAAAACAACCTAAATATCTAACAACCTAATATCTAGACAATAAGGCAATAGTAAAATAAATTACGATAGTGTATATTTACATGGGGAAATATGCAGTCATTAAAAAAGTGTTTTTAAAGAAAAACACAATCTTCTAAAAAAAAGGTTTTCTTGGCCCTAGCTGGTTTGGCTCAGTGGGTAGAGCGTCAGCCTGCGGACTGAAGGGTCCCAGGTTCCATTTCGGTCAAGGGCACATGCCTGGGTTGCGGGCACATCCCCAGTAGGGGGCATGCAGGAGGCAGCCTATCAATGATTTTCTCTCATCATTGATGTTTCTATCGCTCTCTCCCCATCTCCTTTCCTCTCTGAAATCAATAAAAATATATTTAAAAAATAATAATTAACAAAATAAAAAAGGGTTTCTTGTAACTATAATCAGTCAATTTTTAAAAAAAAAAAACTACTACAGCCATGCTGTTCGTTTAAAAACATGAGAAAAAGATCTCATACATAATGTGCTACTATAAGCAGACCTTCCTGATGGTGTTTGAAGCCTGTGGTACATACCTTCATGTGATTATTTGTATTGTCATAGGAATCAAGTTTACAGGGTGACTGTGGTAGAGTCCTTATAATGAAAGTAGGAGAGGGTTGTGGATCCTTCCCTGAAGGGCATCTGTGTCTGTGCTGAGGGCAAATGAGTGATTCCATTAGTGCCTTGATCCTCTCTTTAGAAATCCTGTTTGTTTTACTCTTTTGAAAGATATATGCTCATAAACAGACTAGTAAGAAACCTGCCCCACTGTATGCCAGATAAGGCCAAAGCAAGTTATACATGGATTTCACTGAGGACCCACAATTTGTGCCCACCCCTTGGGCAATCCCTCTGCCATTGCTCCGAATCACTGAGATCTATATCCTGTAGGTCCCAGTATACCTCAGAAAATGGAAGTCCATTAGCACACTTGGCACATTGTAGGTGTTTAATATTTACTGATTAGAACTGAAAGTTAAAATACCTAGTAAACTTATTATAGCAAATAAAATTCAGTGGTTCAAGCTAACATTTGCTGGTAATGGTAAATTCCTCTTCTAGACAGATCACTGCATTCTATATACTACTTGGTTAGGGGTATTGAAATCCTTCGAGTTAGAGGGGAAGAGCCAAAAGGTAGACAGGAAGGTGATAATATGGTGGTAGTAACTGTCAATATGATATGTCTGGCCAGAGAGTGGATAGAATAGGCATGAATGTTGAGAACTGATATCACAAATAAGCTTTGACCAGCAAGAGCATGTAAGTAACAATTGTAGTCAAAGCCACACACAGATCCATATCAACCTAATTCCAGAGAGGGTTAGGATCTAGTCGTGAGGGTGGATTGGTGAGTTACAGGATGTCTTGTTGTCATGGAAGCAGGAATAGTTAAGTAAAGGTCACAGTGTACTCATCTTCAAGGTTAACTGAGGCAAAATGTTAAGTTAACCATTCCAGTGAATGAAAAGGATCCAAAGCCAATTACACTCAAAGCACAAATGAGCTGAAAGTGCTTTGTTTCTTGGAAAATGATCACTTTATATAGCTGGGAGCTTCAGCCAATAACCTTTCAGATAATTAATACTGGAGATCAAGAGCATCCTACGCAGTTTTTATTCTTAGCAGAAAGCTGATTTCATTCAGGAAATGCTGTGTCACTAATTCCCCATAATAAAAGCATAGCCAACATCTAAGAGCACCTACCATGTACCACGCACTGTGCTGCACTTCTTAATTTCATCAGTGCAGCAAGCCTATGATTAGATGCTATCGTCTCCATTTTGTGGAAAAGGTCACTGGCATGTAGTGGGATTAAGTGATTAGCCCAAAGCTCCCACTGGTGGTAGGCACCACAAATCAAGACTTGAGTATAGTCTACACGTAGATTGCTTCTCACATCCTCAGAGACAATAGGCAGACTAACAAATGGTGGTGGTCTTCAGAATAAGAATTACTTCAGTGTAAGTAAGTAGATATCCATCTAACAGTTCAGAAATAATAACACTAGATGACCATTAGATTATGCGATTTCCTGACTGTCTAATCCAGTGGTTCTCAACCTTGGCTGCACATTAGAATCACCTGGGAATCTTTTTAAAATCCTGATTTCTGGGCCTCATCCTCCGGAAATTCTGTTTCTTTGTTATGGGGTGGGGCCACAACATTCTAATGTGCAGCCAAGGTTGAGAACCACTGGTCTAATGGAACAAATTTAGACAAAACCTCAGCATTATTAAAACTCTGTTTGCTATAAAGAACTGCATTCTGGCAATGGTATATTACATTGAAAGAAATGGTATATTATGTTGAATGAAAAATGCAGAGGTTTAAAATTCAGGTAGATTGAGCTTTTAACTGTGGTTCTGCCCCTAATTTTGCTTAGTCAAGATACTTAAGTCATCGAAAGTTTAGCATCTTCATCTAAGAAATGGAAACATCTACTTCATCTGGGTGTTATGAGAATTACAGCTACCTCTTCCCATCTCACTATTGTATCTTCTAGAGATTTGTACAAAAAAAGGTAAGCTGCCTGTGTCTCCAAAGAGAGTAATTTCCGGCTCACTTTGGAAGAGGTGGCCAAGATGTTATGTCAAGAACTAGCTGATGCTTTGGACAGTCTCTTTGTTACCTGGGGCTTCTACTTTGCCATGTGTGAAACTGGGGAGTTTGAATAGATGATCTCTAAGCTCAAGCCCCCACTGAATGAATCTAAGAGAAGATTTTGGTTTGTCCTACACCAACCTTGCCTAGTAATTAATACACATCTGGGAACAACTCTGGAGATCATTGATAGGAGTACGCAGCCAAGGAAAGGAGCTAAAAATCAAGGAAAAGTGTAATACACATTTGTATTTGTTCTTCTATTTGTGTCCCCCATCCAGAAAGCCTCCAAGGACACTTTGAATAAAGGACAATTCGGTTAACACCTCACATATTCCCAGAAACCACCCCTATTACACAAACAGGTAGGGACAGCAGGAAAGCATGCCACAAACTCACAGGATTCATACATTTTGACATAGAGCTCTTTGTTCATAGCCTTTGGGCTTAAACAAAAAGTCTCATCAGAAATAGCAATAAATTCTGGAGGGATTTAGGTGATAAACCTGACCATGATAAAAGTACTGGAAATGATTGAACGTATAAAAACTTGGACTGTGCGCTAAATAAAAAGGAAACCAACAGTCAGTGTTAACCTATATGTACATGGGCAAAAGCTGGAAGGCTATCGTAAAAAAAAAAAATGGATGGAAGAATTGTAAGTGATATTCTTTGCACATGCCTTTAATTGTATGCTTTGATAATTACCAAAGAAGGGAACACAGTGGGAAACAATATTTACATAGCACAAAAGCTCACTATGCCAGATAGACAAGGAATTCATGCAAGTGATTAAAACTCCAGGTTCCAGTTACTAAATGGCCAATGGTGCTTTACATACAACAAAATGTAGACAATAAACCCACATGGGAGGGTGGAAATACATCTTTTAGTTTCTATGTTACCTATAACATAATTAAAATCTTAAAACCTCATTTTGGCAGGGCTGTGGAGAAACTGGTACCCTTAAAATTTTAATGATAGCCCTATAGAGTAAAGCTATTAAGCCCTGGCTGGTGTGGCTCAGTTAGTTGGGTGGCATTTGAAAGGTTGCTGGTTCCGTTCCTGGTCAGGGCACATGTGTGGATGTGGGCTCAATCCCCAGTAGGAAGCAGTGATTGATGTTTTGCTCTCACAACAATATTCTCTCTCCTTACCCTCTCCCTCTCTAAAAATCAGTTTTAAAAAATCTTTAAAATTATTTTCCAATATTCTAAAAAAAAGAGAGAGAGCTATAAAATTCCCTAAGCCTTTCACATGGTAATTCCACACACCATATAGGTAAACTACCAATTACCTGGAAAAGTCTTAGCTATCCCAAAAGCCACACTCTTGAGAGCCAAGGTTTACTGTTAGTAGCAAAGGGGAGAAAAGGAGCTTCATAATTTAAGTGCAAATGAAGAGCAATCACTTCAAGCTTTTTTAACAGGGAACTGAATTAACTTAGTTTAGAGGTCACAAACTTTCTGTAAAGGGCCAGATGGTCAACTTTTTTGGCTTTGTGGGCTAAACCATCTCTGAATCAACTACTCAACTGCTGTTGGGGAGGGAAAGAAGCAACAGACAATATGTAACAAACAGGAATGACTGGGTGTTCCAATAAAACTTTATAAAACCAGATGTTTTCAAAATCCATAGAGTGTACCAAAGAAGGAACCCTAAAGTAAAATATGGACTTTGGGAGGTAATGACATATCAATGTGGCTTCATCAATTGAAACAAATGTCCCACACTGGTGAAGGATGTTGATATCTGGGGAGGGGAGTTACCTGAAAACTCCCTGTACTTTCTGCTAAATGTTACTGTGAACCTAAAACTGCTCTTAAAAATAGTCTATCAATAAAAAACAACAGGTGGCTGGCCCTCAGGCTATTGTCCCATAACCTCTCTTAAAGTGCAGTATTCTGAAAACAAGAGGATTTGCCCAATTCTGAATCCAGATTATCAGGGAAGTAAAACAACTGAATGCACATATACTATTTTTTAACTTTTATTTATTGATTTGAGAGAGAGACTGATTTGTTGCATTCTTTGGTTGATTCTTTTATGTGCCCTGATCTGGAATCGAACCTGCAAACCTTGGCATATTGGGACGATGCTCTAAAGGTGGTTCTCAGCCTTCCTAATGCCGCGACCCTTTAATACAGTTCCTCATGTTGTGGTGACCCCCAACCATAAAATTATTTTCGTTGCGACCTCATAACTGTAATTTTGCTACTGTTATGAATCGTAATGTAAATATCTGATATGCTATATGTGTTTTCCAATGGTTGCGACCCACAGGTTGAGAACTGCTGTACCAACTGAACTACCTGGCCAGGACCAGTATTTTTTTTAAAGGAAAAGTGGAACCCTGGCTGGGTCTGTTTGGTTGGAGCATCGTCCCATACACCAAATAAAAAAAAATAAAAATAAAAAAAGGTTGCAGGTTTGATTCCCCATCAAAGGCACATACCTAGGGTTTTGGGTTCAATCCCCGGGTTGGGGCATGACCAGGAAGTAGCCGATGGATGTATGTCTCACACATCGATGTTTCTCTCTCTCCCGCCCTCTCTCTAAAATTAATAAAAACATATCCTTGGGTGAGGACTTAAAAAAAAAAAAAGAGGAAAAGTGGTGGTATTTTCTGATTCTACAAAACCAAAATTTTCCAAATCTTGCTAACAGTGTGGTCACTTTCCCAATGTTTAATGGGAAGAAACCATTCAGTCAACACTAGGTCAGTTTAAGTGTGTTCACGTCTCCCCTTCAAAAGTACACAAAAGGGCAAAGACATGGAATGAAACCAGAGCTACACTTTTAGTACCCAGAGTCTGATAAAACCAGGTTATGTTGAAATCCAGCCCTACCAAATCAATAAGACCCAAAAGGCCAATTCTTTTTTTCAGCTGAAAGGCTGGGCAAGATGCATGAAGCTAAATGAAATTGTTATCTTCCCCTTTAATTCTGAGTAGCTGGCTCGTCTCCCAACAGGTTAGTCTAATTCTTGGCAACTCCTCACAGAAGAAAAACCCTACTGCTTACAGGAAAGGTGTGTCTTGTGCATTTATGTAAAGGTACAAAATAAAAACACCCAGAAACAGAAAGTGATTGTTTTTCCCTTTTCCTCCCACAACTAAAAAAAACAAACAAAAAAAAAAAACAAAAAACTTATCTTCTCCAGAAACAAAATTCCTGTTCTCCCCTGGCTTTTAAGGAGTATAATAACTTAAAAACCCAAGACTTTTTGAAGAGCAATCATTTGGAACTAAAGTCAACTTCTCAGTGGGTATCAGAATCTTAAAATACTTTCTCAAGGAAAACAGAGGTGGCTGGGCCCTTAAACCTAAAAATAGTAAAACCTGGGAAAATGGCTGCTACCTTCTAATCGCTAAAGGCTCAGAGGTTCACAGAACCAGTGTGATTCTGGTAGAAATTTTTTCTGTGAAGAGAAGGCCGAGTTGTCAGACAACCTGCTTTCTGGTGGTTTCATTTGGGAGATGCCATATTTAAACGTGGGGACATTATAGAAGTTTAAACTTATATAACAACTGCCTCAGTTAAAGTGGCATGGTTTAATAACCTTTATATGGAGTCAGTGCTCGCCATTTATGGAGCGCCCACTCTCTGCAGAGAGCAAACCATCTGAGGAAGCTGTGAGAGGTCACAAGGAAGCGG